TCTGGTGTGCCCCCGCGCCTGAAAGAAAAAAAAAAAAAAAAAAAAAAAAATAAGAAAGAAAGAATAGGTAGAGCTGGTACAAGAAAACCAGGAGGAGGGAGGACTCAGCACAGTGCGTGAAGTTGGACCAAAGGCAGAGGGATGGCACAAAGGCTCCGGTGGTGCCCGGCCTTGGTGCCCTGTACCTGGTGCTGCACCTGTTCCACCGAGCGCGTGAGGGAATTGCAGACATCCTCTGGACCTGCTTCCTGGGAGAATTGCACTTGGCCACACAGGAGTTCCCCACCTGTAAAGTCACTCCCAACCACACCAGGCCCACCCCTCCCTGACCCCAGGGACTAGCCAGCTGCCCGTGACTGCACAGGGGGTAGGGCTAGACCCCTTACCCCAAGGTGTGGCCGGCTTTGAGTGTCACTAGTCTGTGCTCCAGAGGTTGGGTTGTCCTTGAGCCCTGGACCCGGTACACTCTCTCAGTTGGTTAAAGTATACAGACAACATAAATAAACCCACATGAGCAACGTAATGGATGTCCCAAAAGCAAACACAGGAAGTCTCAGAAAACGTGGCGGCTCCTAACAATATCTTGTCCTCATTAACCTCCACTGAGGTTGAACCTTCCTGGTGTTGCAAACTCAGTGTACTGAATTCAGGTCAGGAGCAGCCTTGCTGCTGACGATAAGCAACTGTTCTTCTTCATGCACCCTGAAGCCCAGCCTTGACAATGTGGCTGTTAAACTGTTTGTGAGAATAATAGAGTTTAAAATACAGGTTATTCTTCCATACTAGAAATTTCTTTTTTGACAGTGATATTAAACTTTGTCTTCTACATCAGCCAAATACTGACTTTTGACATTCGACAGTTTGCTCCCCCAAAGACTCACATCTACCTGCATGTACACACGTACATTTGTAGACACACGTGCACACATACACAGATACACAAAGGAAACTAAGACTTCCTGAAACAATAGCTACTGGGTGGGTGCTCGCCCGCAGTTACTGCTGTGTCCTGCTCCTTGCGTAAATGACCGCTAAAGTTCACGTCATAGCCAATGACAGGCTGAGACCATGATGTTCCAAGGCCCTCGATATTCCTTCAAACATCAAGCTCGGGGCCGATTTTATTATTTTAAAAAATAATGATTTATTTAATTTTATCATTATTATTATTTTTAAAAATCTGACCCGAGAGAGGGAAAGTGAGAAAGCAAGCCATCAGGTCTGGGACTCGAACTGTGGTAGGACATTTGGGAATCCAGCATCCTAACCGCCATGCCACCTACTAGCCCTGCCTGGGGTCCATTTTAACTAAAGAAAATGGCACTTGAAACTCTGCCGGGCTGGCCCTACAGCTTAATGGTTAGGAGATCTGGAACCAGCACGGCCAGCTGTGGTTCAAATCCCACTCTGGCAGCTCGAAAAGCACAGGGACACATGCACACACGTGTCCAAAATCTCCACAGGATGGAGAAATGGAGACAGAACCATGGCGCGACTAGGTCCCATTGGGGTATGCTTTTTCTCTCTCCCTCTGTCGTTCTGGCAAGCATGCGCACCATCTGTCAATTAAAATAGTATTAGTAGGTAGAAAAGAAACCTCACCTGGAAGTTGCTGCTTGGTCACGAGGGCAGAGCCCTCTGGGTAACAAAGTGTTTGCGTAGGTCAGGTGTCCACTGAAGCCTTCCAGTCTTTGGAAATTTAAATGTAATTGATTTTGCTCACCCTCCCACCCTGAACCATTGATTCCAAGCCTTACAAAAATCTTAATTCTCCTACTTAGTTTTTGAATATTCCTGAATACCTTCTTTATTAAATGGGAGTACTTCTTTATTCCCCACTGTTAGTATTTTGATTTATTTTGTTATAGACCTTTTTCGTAAGCATATTTTATGAAGATGATCAAATTAGATTCCTCTATGATTATAGCTGCTTTGTAAATTTGTAATTTTTCACTTTTATTTTCACAAAAAGAAAATTTAGGATTTTTTTTTTTAAATAGAGAACTTTACATTCTTTTGTCTATAAAATGTTTTGTCCCATTGTCCCTCACGCCCACCCTCTTCCACCCAGTCCCCTCCTGTACTCTCTCTGGTGTCCACACAAACCCTCTCTACTATCATATCTTCCGACCTTTCCATTTCTGCCACAGACATTTGGTGCATCTTGAGTGGGCATATACAGTGTGATTCACTTCACTAAATACTAAGTCCATCTGCATCCACTTTGAGTCAAGCAATAGGGTCTCATTGTTTCTTATGACTAAGTAATATTCCATAGTATTTGCTTTTTCTTTTCTTTTTTCTTAGAGAGATTTTTTTTTTTTTTTGCTATAGGGTACATGCACTCACCAGAGAGACAGAGAGAGAGAGAGAAAGTGAGAAATCACCCCCCACCCAGGGGGGACAGCCACACCCCAATCCCTTGTCCTCATTCTCCTCTCAGGATGTTGGGCATGCCTGCATATGTGCCTGGCATGAATTTTAGGGTGCCAGGTCCAGGACTCAAACTGCAGTCAACTACATGGGAGTCCGGTGACATAACAACTATGCCATCTGCTGGCCCCTCACGGTATTTCTTATACACAGCGTTCTCCCCAAATAATCCATTCACTGAGAATATTTCCAGGAGAACAATGACTCTTTCTAGAATAGTTTCGGGGGGGGGCAGTTGTTGCTTAGAAATGAAATGCTGCCGTCATAATGTGACCACCTGCTTCAGCGCTGACCCCCACCACCGGCAGCCGCCTCAGCCCCTCCTTTCTCAGCCCCTCCTACCCACCAGCTTCCCAGACCCTTCTTTTCCTCTCTTCTTGTAAAATCTTGTTTCCTCCTAGTTCTCCTCCCTGCAGCGTCTCCTCGGTCTCCTTCCATAGGGCTGGGGAGAGTCCACGCAAGTCGCCCCCTGCTGCTGCCTACCAGGTGCTGCAGCTCGGGCTGACGGCTGCAGGTGAGCAACGCTGCCCAGCATTCACACTTGGTTTCACTAGTCACTCAGACCCGTGCGGTGTGCAGGGTTTTCAAGCCTGACAGGGAGGGCTATTTAAGACATAAATGTGCCATCCAGGGGCCAGAAGGTGATGTGGAGGTGGGGGTGGCTGGGTCCCTCGTGGCTGACTGAGCCTTTTGAGCCCCAGACCCAGCAGCTAGGAAAACATGCTGGGTATGTGTGCACAGAAGAGGGAAATGGAGAAGGGATGTGGCATCACCATAGAGGAGCACAGGAGGCAGGGACGAGAACATCCTAGAAACAAGCCCTCCCATGTCCGAGAGGCGGCTCCACGCCAGCAAACAGTGGAACAGATCGCGTGCTCTACTGAAACACTAATCAAGCACTTTTTTCAAGCATGGGGTGTCTGGTGAGAGAAAGAACTATAGTCGACTCAGACAGCATGCATTAAGTAATATTCTCGCAGACAGAGGGGCTGAGTTTCGTTATGCAGACTTTTGTTGCTGTGCATTTGGGAAACGGTCACGTTCTAATTTTTTCCCTCACTGTCACCAGTGGAGAGAAGGTACAGCTTTAAAACAGTTAACAAACTCAGAATATCTTCGTAAAACACCTAGGAATATTCAAGATGAAAATTACTGACAAAATAAATACACGGAGGAAGGGCAATTGCCTCTAGACACTCACAGCAGATGTCTGAAGATAAGAAATGGCAAGAAGGCTCAAAGGTTGCAAAGGACATAGTAAAAACATACAACAAATCATGTAATACAGCCTTGAAAAGAGAATTTTGTAAATTACTCAGCGTAGCGCAATTTCAGACTTCTCGTCATGGAACCCAATGGGAATGTTGATGGATTCCCCTTCCAGGGGTCTGATTCCTTTCTAAGGTGGCGCCGCGAGAATTGCTCATGGGTCGGGTACCTGCTGTGGGAGTAAGAGCGAAGCGCAGGGCGCTCTGTACATTTCGGTGTGCGCATCCTTGGCCAGTAATAATGGAGCACGAAACACTGTCCTCTTCACCGTCAGAAAGTGTGACTGTCTCTTCATCTGGTTCTCTCCCTCCCCAGGAAGGTGCTTGGATACTCCTCCTGGATAAGCATGGAGAAAACGTCTATGCCTTGCTGTTCACCGAAGCGTCTTTACCAGCTCATCTCTGAGTGCTTACATTTGTTCTAGAACTTTTCGGTAAGAAATTAATGTTTAGAAATTTCATAACAACAAAATCATTTTCAAGAAATGCATCAGAGGCTACTGCTTTTACCTGCACACTCAGAAATCCTTGATACCCACATTGAGGGGTCTAGTGTTCAGCCAAGTTTGTTCACTTAAAAATAATACTAGGGGTCAGCAGATGGCACAATGATTAATAGCTGGACTCCCACATAGTCAACCAGGGTTCAAGTCCTAGACCTGGTGGCTTGAAACTCATGCCAAGCGCATGTGTGCGTGCCCAAAATCCCGCGAGAAGAATGGAGGAGAAGGGATTGTGGCGTGGCCATCCCCCCCCCCCCCAAGAGGGTGATTTCTCACTTTCTCTCTCTCTGTCTCTGTCCCTCTAGCAAGCACACATGCCTATAGCAAAAATCACTCTAAAATAAATAAATAAATAAAAATAAATATTAAACATCTATTTATACCTGCAACTATGTTACTCAAGAATTCACATTTCTTCAACCATCCTCTACACAGCGTCCCTGCAGTGAGTACTTGAAGGGGCTAGAGTCTTACTCAGGTATTGCTATATTTCCTCAAATATTTTTAAGATTTCCATTGGTCCAGTCTACGAGTCATATGAGAAAAATGGCATCATTCTCATTAGTCAAATTTATTTTGGAAATAAAATACTATTTTTCATTCAAGGGTAGCTTGAAAACTTACTCTGGGGACCAGCAGTTAGCGTAATGGCTATGTCGCTGGACTCCCACGTAGTCTAGACCCCCGGTCGCGTCCCAGAC